CCATATCCCACCCAGTCCACCAAGTATTGTAACTTGCGGTGATAACGGCGAGAGTCCAAAATGTCCGCCACTGTTGTGGTTCAGCAGCAACAGCATGATGGGACTGAGGGTGCAGATGAGCACGATGGGAATGGGAATACAGATGCAGGTGTGGGATTTCAGATTTCTCAGTTTTCTCAGCCACAGTCTGTAGTTAGAGAGAAACCATTGTTATCACAGGAACGGAATGTGGCTGATAAAACAGCTAGTGAAGGTCAGACTGTGCCACAGGTGTTAAGAAGGAGTTTACGAATTGCGGCCAAGTCTTGAGCCCATCCGTTGGTGGGAAAACTGCTTGTTAGCTGTCTGTTTAATGTTCAGTGTTTTGATGTTTTACCTATAAGTAAACTGCCTGGGAACTGATTCGGCGTCAGTTTCAACGTTGCAAAAATGGCTCACGTTGTCTCCTGCTCTGGGCCTTGGACCTTGAGAAAAAAAGCCTGCTTCATGTAACCTCATGCTATTTCCTGGATTTTATGCTGCTTCTTGCTTCAAGTGTCCTGCTTTGACTCAAAGGGAATCTATTGGATTTTTACCTTGTACTATTGACTTTTTACTGCTTATATTCTGATTTGTTTGAAACCTCACAATAAACTTCTTTCTTCATAAGTTTGGCTGGTTTGTCAGAGAGAGCAAGGTGAATTTTAGCCTGAGATACAACAGTCACTTCGAATTCCTCCTCTCCATCACGCAGAATCGGGGGTGGCGGAGGGGCCCCGCCAGCATCAGGCCGGACTTCCGCGGCGGGTCGAAGCAAAGATCGATGAAAAACAGGATGAATCCGCATGCCGCGCGGAAGCTTTAGCTTAAAGGTCACAGGATTTAATTGGTCCACCACTGGATATGGCCCCACAAAACGAGCGTCAAGCTTTCGAGAGGGGCGTTGTATAGGGAGGTGTTTAGTGGATAACCAAACACTATCTCCCACTTGGATCGGTGGACCCGGCTGTCGATGGTTATCAGCCACTCG